GAGAGCGGTGTGGAACACAAGAGCAGCATGAACAGCGACCGCATCACCCCGTCATTCGACTACTACAAAGTCTTCTCATGCCAGTGGGAACTAGACTCCCTAGCTTCTTTCCTGCAGCTCTCCGTCGACTACGTAACAGCAACAAAAGACTACGACTTCTTCGAAAGAAGCAGCAACTGGACCAAAGCCGTTGAACAAGTGTTGAACACGACAGAAAGCATGACAATAGATTCCTACACAGAGGACGGAGAATGGCAACACACGCCCTACACATACTGCGCTCCCTACGGCGGCACCCCTATCAACAACTGCAACGGCAGTCCCCACAAAGGCAACATTGGCCTCGTACGCTCCTTCCACCGCCCCAGCGACGACGCATGTACATACCAGTACCTCATCCCCTCCAACATGATGTTCTCCTCCGCTCTCAACACATCCTCAACAATAATGTCGCGCATCACGTCCCGCGAGAACCCGCTGGCCGCACGCATGCAAACACTCAGCACAGCGATAAACCGCGGCGTGGAAAAATACGGCATCGTCAACGATCCCAACTTCGGCAAGGTGTACGCGTATGAGGTCGACGGGTATGGGTCGGTGAATATCATGGATGATCCTAATGTTCCTTCGTTGCTTTCGGCGCCGTTCTTGGGGTACACGACACTGCGCGATCCGATATACCAAAATACACGGCGGAAGATTTTGAGTAGGGATAATCCGTACTATGCCGTCGGACCTGTGATCACTGGTGTAGCGAGTCCGCATACCTTGCCCGGACGACCGTGGCCTATGGCACTCATCATGACCATTCTGACAAGCGAGGATGACGACGAGATCGTTCGGAATTTGATGTGGTTGGTGCAGAGTACGGATGGACTGGGGCTTATGCATGAGAGTGTTCATGCGAGGGATAAGGGGGTGTGGAGTCGGCAGTGGTTTAGCTGGGCGAATGGCTTGTTTGGGCAGATGATATTGGATTTAGAGAGGAGGAAGCCGTGGGTTTTGGGTATGAGCTTTCAATAGCGGTTCTGGATGATCCCCATTCTTGGATGCTATGTTGTATCAAGTATCAAAATAGGTATGCCTTTCACAAGATATTTCTTATCGACTAATGTCTAGGATATCTACATGGTCTTCAAGAACTTTGACCTTTGCTAGAAAAAAGTATTGACATGTCGACATAAAGCTTGGGAAGGTCGATCTTTGCTCTTATTAATGACTAAGATGCCTACATGGGCTTAGAGAAACTTGTTGCTTTACTAGTATTGATTACCAAGATGTCTACATAGGCTCAGAGAAACTCAATTCTTCACTTTTGTTAGTAGTTGCGTTGTCTTCGTGGGGGTTGCGATAGCCCTTGCAGAAACAGAATGTAAACTGACAAGCAATATCAAGAGCCATGCGCACGAACTTCAGATCAGACCAGCGCATGGTGTCATCAGTCTAACGAAGCTTGCCAGCGACACCTTGAAGACAGCCAGACAAGCTCGATGAGTAGGAACGGATGCATTAACCAGGCTCGCGCCTTTGCCGTAGCCCTGGGGTACGGTGAAGGTACCAGAGCGACAAACAGCAATCCAGATAAGGGAGCATGGCAGCCCAGTACTCAACCTCCTAGTCTTGCTCCATGATAAATCGGAAGATGATAGCAAGCTCAGGATCGGAGAGCTTGTTCCTGGCGTATAACGCTAAACCAAGGCCGTACTTCACAGCAACGAAACGAATATGACGGTTGACTTCCTCGTGCCACTTCTGCTAGATGGTGTTGAAGTCCGGCAACAAGGTAAAAGCTCACCAATACAGACCATGCTTGAGCTGCCACACACCATCAGCTTTGATCTTGTCGCCTACATGACCAGTGCTGAGATCAGCCATTGCACTGAGAAACTCCTTTGTGCGGGCAACGAAAGTGGCCTTCGGTCTCCGACGACTGGTCGGGTAGACAGCCTCGACATACTCTTCGCAGGTGGCACGGTCGCGAGTGCGTCTTGCCTCCGATCAAGTTAGCGTATGAAGCTCTTCAAGCTAGCCGGAGCTGTGGCAGAGACATGTTCTTCAAGTGAGATCTACTGGTCGATGGAGCTGATGAGTCGAACCGCTTATAGACGTCAGACCTATCTATAATCTTGTAATCCTTCTGTGTATAAATAAATGTATTCCTAAGCGCTATGTAGCCAATCCGCAATTTCTCCCTGTAGCTGCTATGCCAGATTCTTGGCTATCTTCGAGATCAAATTTTGGGCAAAAAGGATGCCACCGCGTCGATCCACCTCACGCCGAGACCGTCGGGACAGCAAAAAGACAGTTGAATGATTCAAGCGAGGCTCGAACTCGCGACCTTTCGCGTGTACACACACAGATGTGAGGCGAACGTGATAACCAACTACACCATCGAACCAACTTTGATGTCAAACTGGAAAAAAAGTTGCAATATATTTTGCGAAATTGCGAAGGAGCGAGCTCGAAAGATGAAGGTGGGGCTAAGTGCGGGGCAAAGGAGCTGTCGTGGCATCGGTACGCATCTCCACTGAGAACTTCCACCAAATCAAGTTGGACGTAAGTTGCTTGCTGACTTCTGCTGACACGATGCACCGCTTGTAACCGCATGGAGCTGGTGGTAAAGGTCGTGTAGCCACCATGACATCGAAGGCCTGACGAAGGACGTTGCTTACTCCTACACCTATTAGTACAGCCTCTAGTAAGGTCTCTCTTACCGACAGCTTGTCTCGGCCTTCAACATTTCCTGGATCTGGTCCTCGCCCGTCATGTCTACTCTCAAAGAGCAGCTACCATGGACGTTGTCACCACTCGTCGTCAACGCGCCGATGGCGGGCTTCGCGGGCGGTAAGCTCGCCTCAGCTGTGACACTCGCTGGTGGCCTCGGTATGATCGGGAGTCTACGCAGCATGGACGATTTGCGAAAAGAGCTGGGTATCGCCGCAAAGGCTTTCAAGGACAGTCCCGGACTATCGGCGTCGCGTGTTCTCCCAGTTGGCGTCGGCTTCCTTCCCTTTGTGCTCAAACTCGAAGACATTCTTCCGGTGTTTGATGACTACAAGCCCGCGGTCATTTGGATGTTCGTGCCGAAAGATCTGGATGACTACGCGGTATGGGTCCCAGCGATACGCAAGGCTTCACCTGAGAGCAAGATCTGGATTCAACTTGGCAGCGTCGCGGCAGCCCTTCACGTTGCGAAGATTGCGCAGCCAGACGTGCTGTGTCTCCAAGGCGCAGATGCCGGCGGTCACGGCTTCGAGAAGGGCGCAAGCATCGTCTCGCTACTACCGGAGGTGGCCGACGCGCTTGCTGCGGAAGGCTGTTCACATATACCTCTCGTCGCCTCAGGTGGTATCGTCGATGGACGCGGCGTGGCTGCAGCACTCACCCTCGGTGCCGAAGGCGTCGTGATGGGAACGCGTTTCCTCGCGTCTAGAGAGGTGAACGTCCATCCGGTGTACCAAGCAGCAGTTCTGGAGGCGCAAGACGGTGGTCAGGTGACGACGCGTTCGAAGCTTTTTGATCAGTTGCGCGGTCCCAACATCTGGCCGGAGCTGTATGATGGGCGCGGGTTGGTGGCACAAAGCCACAAGGATTTCGCGAACGGCATGAGTCTGGAAGAGATACAGAAGCTGCACAATGAGGCCGCTGCAGGTGAAGATAAGGGATATAATACGGGCTTGCAAGGGCGTGCAGCAATCTGGGCTGGCACTGGTGTGGGGTTGGTGAAGGAAGTGCAAAGCGCGGGCGAGATTGTGCAGAAGGTGCGGGAAGATGCGAAGGACGTTATGGTTAGGGCCGCAGCGAGAATGAAGTGAGTAATAATCTTGTTTACATTGGGTCACGCCAAGAAAGTGAAAGTGAGCGCAACTGCTTACGGCGGGAAGGCGCGATCGTTGCGACGAGAAGCCATGACGTCACGTGTTTAGTCGCAAACTTTGGGACCTTGAAACTCCCCAGGTGCACGGCAACGAACATTGGATTTGTTGTGTTGCAGGGCGTCGGACCAGTTTTTTTTACTGGTTGTCGCGTCGGATCGTCTCCTTGATCGGCTGATGATTTCGTCTCTTCTCTTTTTGATTGCGGCGTTGCGCCTCCCTACGCGTAATTGATTGAATACCCAAACACCCGGCGCATCCTGTTCATCAAGCCCCCCGCCCACTTCGAAAATGAGAAAGCTTTCTCGCACACACCCCATCCTTTTCCATCATGTCAGCCTCTGAGATTTTTCCATCTTACAACGACCTCCGCGCTTCTGGTGGTATCATCCAAAGCTCTATGGACATGCTGCGGGTGCGCTGGTTGCTATTCGGCTCTCTCGAGTCTTCAGTCGAAGTTGCGGACACGCTCGACCTAGACTCTAAATGTGGACCATACACCACCGACGGTCATTCCTTTCACAAGATCTCCACCTCGCCCGCAACGGAACCACCGGTCTCGTCTATCAGCGTAAACGTAGATGATCTAGACACATGGGGATACAGATGGGAAGGAGAGCATCGAGATGATGACTGGGATAATCAAGAGTGGACCGGGGACTCAGATGATGAAGATCGGGACCTTTTGCGCTGCTGCGGCATGGCTTGCCCACCACCTCCACCGTCCCTCGAGGTGCTGCCTACTACGCATCCCTTCGTTACCGTACACGACTACATCACTCAAGTCCACGCTTGGCTCCAAACTCTCAAACCAAGCATTCTGGAGGCTATGGGCGACATGTACTCTCTTTCAACGAGGTTTTACATCAGCTTGCTGAGCCTGAGGGTCTTGTCGTACTGGGAAGACACGCGGGCGGACAGACTATGGAAATCGACTGAGCAACATGCACGACGACGCAGAGACGGTACGATGCTTTCATGACTACGCTGTCAAAGAATGGTATTCGCAGCTTAGTTAAACTTCCTACGCTATCCAGTACATCTCATGATCAATTCCCATATTACCGCATCCATGTTAAAAGACGTTCTGACTCAGCCCACAATCGCGTCATGAGACGAGCACATTTACCCGGAGAACTTGGGATCGCGGACCAGCTTGATTGTGATTCCATCCGGCGTTGCTTTGGTGGCCTTGTATTCTGCTGACGTGTACGCTGGGTTGGTTTTGTTGACCATGGTAGGCATTTGGCCGCCGTTGCTCTGGCACTCCAAAAGACCCCCGATGGCATCAATAGTCGCCGCGATGTCAGCATAAAGAATCGATGTTGAAACGTCGGGTTTGCTGTGTTTAGCTAAGGCCAGAACGGTGCCGGCGTCAGGAACGGCAATCGCCCATTCTTCACAAGCGCCGCTGGCAGGCATCGTCCATCGCGCATTAGCCCCAGTGTTGGAGTCGCCAACGAATCGAAGATAAGAAGCCACATATTCGATGTCGGCGCGGTCCAGTGACTGGCTTTGGCCACCATCCTTCCCGTAACAGACGCGCTTGCTGCCTTCGTCGCAGTTTTGTCGGTTGAGAAGAGTCGCGGAGGCGGTGGTATTCGCGGCAGCGAATGCTACAAAAAGCATTCGAATGAAGAATGTGGAGTGCATGACTGGTTGTGCTCTGGTTCACAAGCCACAGTGGAAGAGCGGGCTTTGCTTGCTTATTGGCCTCGAAGCCTACGAGTATCTGATCAGCTACGCTTTATATCTCAAACCATATACAAGAACTGTCCAAAACATTTAGACTCTTAGACGCGGCCTTCATACAGAATGCGCAACCACGATAGCGGGTATGTATGACCTATTGAATCGCATATTAACGACCTTCAGGCACGAGGTTGCGGGAGTATCTCTTTGGCAATACGAGCTGGAGTGGCATCACCATCTCCGGTTATGTGCATCTGCTTTTTTCCAATCCTTGTACCTCCCTCCCCGCGACATGGCGAATAGATGAAATCTAAAGCTCACTACAAGGGAACAAAGCCGAGCGCGAGCCTCCGGGCATGGCTCGGCGACCACGATTAATCAAGTACTGCCAGGGCGTGTAGATCAATATCCTCATAAGGCATGCATACAGAATCCTGAGTACCCGCTCAGCGCTACCAATTGCAAGTTGTATATTTCGCCCTGCACAGCCTCCCAAGCCAATATAAGCGTGGTCAAAATCATTGCCAAGTCTTCCCAGAAAGGCTTGTGTGTAACCGCTGTGCCTACAGCCTGAAGGCGACGTCTCTATTATCGGGTGGATCATAATATTTGCGACAGCCCGACGATGCAAGTCAGACCAGGTACTTGACGAGATGCCGCCACGGAAACATGCTGCGAAAGGTTTCCGGGAGCTGAGATCCCAACATGAGTTTTAGTTCGAGAAAATCAACACGTTGCGGCCCAGGCGCTTGGCGATTTGAGAAGAGCAAAAGAGACTTCAAATCTTATTTTTGCGTGTCTTCACACAGACGATGCGGCCATTCGTGGTGAAGGAGACATCCTATCGTCAAGATTGCTTATCCGGCTACGTAGACGATCAGGGCAAATAACGAAACCAAATTCCCTACCCGGCTTATCCAGTCAAACCACGTCGCAGACGCTGGCAGCTTTGTGATTCAATCACACTTCCCAAACATTGGTTGACTATTGCACACTCTCTGCATTAGCTGTCACAAATCTGAGCTGAGTTGACATATGCATAAAAAGACTTACCATCCTGAGCCACACTGCTTCTTGTCCATTCCACACTTACCCCCACTTCCACAGCAGTAGCCAAATACTGGATTGCATACATACTTGTTGGTGCCACCACAAGTACCGTCGCTCGAATTCCCGTCCAACCAAGGGAACTGAGAAGGGGGATCAGGGAGCTGCTTCTCACAGTCGCCGGACTGGCATTTTCCGAGACTGCAGAAATTTGCACCATTGCCACACTTCCCATTATAATCGCAACAAGATCCCCATTTCCCCCCACATTTCAGGTCGCCGTGCTGTTGTCCGCATTTTCCATCGATGGCGTATTCGGTCGCGCCGTGACATGCACCTTCGTAGCACGTGCCTTCGCGACAGTCGTCCCTATAAAGTAAACTCAGAATGAGACATGACACAGGAGCAAGGCAAGAAGGTAGACCTACGCTGTATCACCGCATATCCAGGTCTCGGAATTGCAGCACTGTTTCTCGGTGCCTCTACAGGTAGCGTTGTTGTGTGTAGGGCCACAGAGGCCGTCCAAAGCTGGGATCTGGTCAATGACTATGCAGATCAGCAGCCGTTAGCAACATGTCCACAGGTCGCGAGCCGAGAAAGACTTGAATCCAACCACTGAAACTCACATCCTGCGACGCAATAGTCTGTATTAGGTTCGATGGTCTTGCATTCCCGGTCGAGATCGGGGTTGAGTTGGAAAAACTTGTCGATAGATATGGCGTATCTGTCTGCGAGCTCAATGCAGGTGTAGTAGTTCACTTCGGACGGCGACGTGAGCGTGTAACGGCAGACAATTTGTCCTGGAACGACGTCTCGCTTCGCGGTCCATTGGTATGGCTGGCAATCATCTGCTGAGAGAGAATAGTTGATGGTTGAGAAAGCTATAAAGAAAGGCACAAGCTTGCGAAGAGCGCTCATGTTTTGCAATGTAAAAAGAACGGGTGAGTAATTCCAGGGAAGCAGAGAGTTTACTGAGTTACTTACAATGCCAGAGTTTAGACTCCATCTGCTGAGGCCATTGCCGAATATGCCGCACACAGGGGTGCGCAGTTCTTCCAATTGGTACCGGGTGCTCCACCGGTTCTCATATTGGAAGCTTACTTGCATGCCAATTAGCCGATATGTAAGGTCAGAACACAATCTTCAGTAGATGAGATCTTGCACCACAATTTCTCAAATCAGCCATGCAACTTCAGGACATACCGGATGTGTTGGTATCACCCCTCGACGCACTGCCACAATTTATGCAGAGCCAACATCACGGTCTACAATTTCCTGCATATGCGCGCTCTACGCCAGCCCATCAAGCTCTTGATTTTTGACTTGTCTGATTAAATGCAGTGAAGAGGGGTAGAGTGATAGATCTTGGCATCTCGACGACCTCCGAGCTGCTGTATGGGACGTTCCAAACTTAGCCTTCATCTTACGGGATTTCATTATAGCCATATTGTCTGGCTATCTAACTTAACACGCTTTATATATACTCGTCTTGATTGGTTCCAGAATGTGCGTACGCTGGTGGTAACAGTGGGTTTTCTTTCTGAAGACTTGTGGCAAGTGATGGTACAACTACAGGGCGGTTTTGAAGGTTTGAGCTCATTCTCCCACACGTAGAGCGTATCCTGAACAGCTAAAACTATTCTCAACCTGATTCAAAACATCTGATTGATCGCATCAAGATGGGCCTCTTCACTTTAGCTAGCAAGCTTGTTACTTTGTGCTTCCTGTTTTGTTGTGTCAGATCCCAATACGTCCAAGAATGGACAATGAGAACCAACCCTGGCGGCAATACACAGGTACAGAGACCATCTAACTGAGCCTTTATCGTTCTCAGCTGATATGTCCTGTTCAATAGGATATGTGGTGGGGGCCAACAGCAAATGGACCTCAGCAAAGGGTAGAAGAATTACCACCGTACATTGTCTAGTAAGAATTGCTCCAATCAACCAGTCGAACAATTTCTTACGTGCAACGTCAGCCTCGAGTACAATTGTTACTACATGACCGCTATCTGCCAGAATGCAAACACGTTCCTTATCTCTGCACGAGGAGCCGCAAGAAGACCACGAAAAGCCTTTGCGTATGACTTCAACAGCAATCGTGCTACACGTCGTCGAAGTCGAGTATGTCCCACAGGACAACTCGGATGGGTTTCTCGGCATACATGTCCTGAAGTTGCTGGATTAGGTAACCTGGCGCAGCCAGATGTGTTCCGTGCGGATGGGCTACCGTGGTACACGACGGCGTTGGAACCCAATCGTCCAGCTGGCGCTGCGAGAGTGCTCCGCCATCGACGTTCCAACGGCCAGATTGTTGAAAGATCGGGTGTAAAGTATACATGTGACGAGTTTCCACCTGCCACGTGGATCCAAGGAGGATCCGGTCTCCAGAATGCTGAGCCGTCTTATACCAGATGTGCCGGATTCCGTTGCAGGCGATCTGAAGGTGGTAGAGACGCGGAGCAGAACTGGCAGGCTGTTGGACATGATCAACTTCGACGCTCACTCAAAGACTTGGCAGAACGCTGCCTTCCCACCTGGACTGTAACCTCCGATTCACCGCTGATATTCTACTTCCGAATGGTAAATGAGGAGAACGACACCCCCGTCAAGATATACGAAGCAGATTCTTCTACTGATACCGAAAATGAGCTTGCTACAACACCGTTGGGGACGCGGTCCACCCGCGAAAGGATCCAGGAAATGAGGAAAGGATCTCTGAAAGACTACATGGAATGGGCAGACACCGTCCCTCTTCACGAGCTCAGCAGCCACGGTTTTGGGGTGAAAACACATCACATCTTCAAGAATCAAAGTTCCGCTCCGATGGATCTCGACAACAGTGCATTGAATATGTTCCTACACATGAACTATTCGCGAAGTCCTATTGCTGCTCGGAGCGATACAGAGCGGCCAAACGACTGGAGCTTCGAGTTGGGTACCATTGGAGGCTTTCGCCAAAAAGACCGGCATTCCGAATTTGAGCGTGGAGACTCGTTCAGAAGCCGGACAGACTCGGCTGACAGTACTTTGCTTTCCGACACGGATGCACTTGCAAAGAACTTCACGACTGCAAGAATTGCTGCCGCTACGAGGATCGTTGAGGAAGCATTGAACAGGTCAGCAGAATACAACCAAGCGCGGTGGGAAAACATGTCCCGCAATCAGTATCGCCTTAAACCCGGAACGATCGTTGGAGGGTCAGGTGACGTCCTGAATCCTGTACTGGGGAAGAAAAGATCAGTCCTAGACTTCGTTGTTACCCCGGAGATTGAGGAGGCAGCAGCGCTTCTAACTGAGTTCGAAGCCTTTGGTATGTCGACCAACAACCAAACCACAACGGGCCATAACGCAACCGATCAAGTGGGTATTGCATCAGCGGCAGCTGCTGGTTCATTCTGGATGGAGACTATAACAAGGAAAGGGACGGTCCCTTGGGGTAACGACCCTTCTTACAAGGTCTTTCGAAACGTCAAAGATTACGGAGCAAAGGGCGATGGCAAGACTGTAAGTTCAACTTCACTGGGCGCTTATAAATATCTCTGACCTTGTACTAGGACGACACAGCTGCGATCAAAAAGGCTATGGACGAAGGCAAGCGCTGTGGAAAAGGTTGCAATGGCTCAAGCACCAAGAACGCTATTGTCTACTTTCCCCAAGGAACCTATCTCATCAGTACTGTTATCCCCGTTTACTTCGGTACGCAACTTATCGGCGACGCCACCAACTGGCCCACCATCGTGGCCTCTTCAAGATTTATCGGAACTGCTGCCTTATCTACCAACGAATACACGGGCGGCGGTACTGGTATAGACGGCGGCGATCAGGAATGGTATGTCAATACGGCAAGCTTTTACCGACAGATTAGAAACTTCAAGATCGACGTCACGCAGACGAGGGCTACGTCACAGGTTGCTTGTATTCACAATCAAGTTGGACAAGCTACTAGTCTCCAATTCTTGGAGTTGACCGCAAAGTCTGGCACTAAACAACGAGGTATTGGTAAGTTGAAGCGTTGCAGCGTACTTGGAGTACGAAGCTAATGACATCAGCATCTGAGAATGGCAGTGGAGGGGTATTGGCCGACATTACATTTAAAGGTGGCGCATACGGCTTGTGTAAGTCGGCCCATCCCACGGTTCACGACCAAACAACCTGACTGAGACACAGGGGGTGGAAGTCAACAGTTCACAGTGCAGCGCATGGTCTTCGATGGCTGTGCGACAGCAGTGCATCTTATATGGGATTGGTCATTCGTGAGTCGCTTGTTGCGATACCTCAACGATTCTTCTCGTGTGTCATACTGATCACTCATTGAACGCAGACGTGGAAATTCATCACAATCAAGAACGCCGACATTGGTTTCAAGCTGTTGCCCGAAGAGAAGACGTCGACTGCCAATCCAACCAAGCGGGCTACTCAGGAGAACGGAAACATCGGCTCTACCATGATCCTCGACTCCACATTTACGAACGTTGGGACAGCAATTCTTGTTGGACCTCTCAACTCTGCGCCTGGATCCGGAAGTACTGGGCTTGTACTGGAGAACATTGCCATGAGCGGCGTACAGAAAGCCGTAGCGGACAGCAACGGAAAGACAATCCTTGCCAGCACCGCGAAGATCGACCAGTGGGTTGCTGGACCTACCTACAGTCCAAAGAGAGAATTCTCGATGGGCAAATCGACCACATACAAGAAACCATCTGGTCTTTTGGATTCCAAGGGTGCGTACTTCGAGCGTGCAAAGCCACAGTATGAGGACAAGTCAGCAAGCGACTTTGTCCACCTCAAAAACTTCGGTGCCAAGGGTAGGTATTCATTGAGCCTTTTCTCCCAACATTCCATCTACATTCGTGAAGCTGACTTTGTCAGGGGACGGTGTCACGGACGATACGAGTGCAGTTCAGAGCGCGTTGTGGGCTGCTAAAGGAAAGATTCTTCATGTCGACGCCGGCACCTACATACTCAAACGCACCGTCACAATTCCCAGTGGAAGCAAGCTCGTCGGCGAAACGTGGTCACAATTCGCCGCATCTGGCACCTTCTTCGGAGATGCTAAGTACGTATCCACACGACGCTACCGAATATTCGACTGACTCATGCAGCAACCCAAAGGCCATGCTTTCTGTCGGCAATCCAGGTGACGTTGGTGAGGTGGAGATGCAAGATTTGATGTTCACGACCAAAGGAGCAACTCCTGGGGCGATTCTGGTTCAGTGGAACATCAAGGCATCCAAGCCAGGATCTGCAGGTATTTGGGGTATGCATGAATCTTTGCGCATCAATATTTGAGGTCATCCGGCTGACTGAGCTCGATTTTCAGACTGTCATGTTCGCATTGGAGGCGCCGCCGGCACGTCACTGAACCCGGATGAGTGCCCGCCTGTGACATCGGGAGTCAACGCGAACTGCCAGGGCGCCTCTTTGATGATGCACATCACCCCGAAAGCATCTGGATACTTTGAAAACATGTGGCTTTGGGTGGCGGATCATATGATCGAGTGGGTATTGACCATCTATCTCGTCTTGACCGGATAGCTGACCAACACTCTTTAGTGACGCGGATTTAGTCGATCCTAACAGTCCTATGGTGAGAACCGCCTGGCCTTGGATAGGCGAACTTTGCTAACTCATGGTACAGACGCAGACTTCAGTCTACGTCGCTCGCGGTCTGCTTGTCGAAAGCCAATCACCAACGTGGATGTATGGCACTGCCTCCGAGCATGCGGTCTTCTATCAATACAATTTCAACAAGGCGAAGAACATCTTTGCGGGCATGATTCAGACCGAGTCACCGTACTATCAGCCAACGCCCAAGGCGCCAGCACCCTTCGAAAAGGCCGTCGGAAAGTTTTCGGGTGATCCCAAGTATCAATGTGATGGCAAGGACTTCGACGGCTGCGATTCATCCTGGGCTGTCATGATACGCGAAAGCAGCGACATCATCATCGGTGGAGCTGGCCTCTATTCATGGTTTTCGACGTACACACAAGACTGTATCGATGGCCAGACTTGCCAAAGGGCACTTCTGTGGCTTGAGAAGAATGGACGCAACATTCGGGTGCACCATCTCATCACTATTGGAGCAAAGTACAGTCTCGTCCAAGATGGCCGCGGTATTGCAGCCAAAGACAACCTCAACGTCGAAGGACATCCGCGCTGGTCCCAAATAACCGTATTTGAGGCTTCCAAGAACGAAATTCATTGGATTGACCCCAAGATCTGGGACATGGACGAGCCGACTGTGTGGTGTGAGCCGCCATGCCAACTCAAGCTCCCGCCCTGGGAAAAGAGCACTACCACTCTCAATTACCCAGTTGTGACTGCTACTGGCGAGGGTTGGACAACAGCGATTACTAATAGCCCTGTTACAGTTACTCAATGGGTTATGGAAGTACTCACGGTCGGTGGTGGGGCTTCTGGGGCGGTTGCAGTCACGGCCAAAGCTCGTCGCGATGAAGTGATCACCTCTGTCAAGCCAACGTTCACAAGTACTCCTGTTTGGCCATCTTTAGTGTTCCGAGGTGGCGACGGTAAACAGAGCACAACCAGGCCGGCCAAACCAACGCATCCAGGACCACCAGACTGGCCTTCCAACGCGCTCGTCGTGAAGAGGGGTGCCCCATCGCCAGTCGTCGACCAGTGTAGCTACTACGATCCCGATTGTTCTGCGGGAGGTTGGGATGGTCAGTGGACTTTCGGAGGCATGGATGATCCCAGCGTCGAAGAAACCCTTGAAGACGATGGACTTCCTTGCCCGTCCCCAACGGAAGAAGAAAGTTCAACACCAACACCGAAACCGACGCCAACACCAAAGCCTCCAACCGTCGAGTTCGATATACCCGATACCAAGAACAACAAAAGAAGATGCTATCATGTTGGCCAATGGACATCACATTATCGAATCAAAGATGCAGCGAACCACCTTTGCGGACTCATAAAGTCTCGCGGCAGACTTGGACCTGGAGATATTGTGAAGCAAACATTCTCATATCCGTATGATCAATCTGAACTGGGAGCTATCGGTGTTGAAACTTCTCTGGAAGTTAAGGCAGGGTGCGAGTTTGTTTACTCTGACGCTGCTTGCGATAGGTATGTCAACGTGCCTATCGACAGCTGCAACTGTGCTGGAGAGAATGGCAAGCAAGGTGGTGAGGTGGAGAACAATTGCTACAAGTGGCGTCTTGATCCAGAGAAAGAGGCCTAGGTATGGACGCTTTGAGTCTTTCTCCTTTCCGTCGCTCGTTAAATTCTCTTAGTATAACATTCGCTCTTTATCTTTTTTTCTACTGCCCCATGTTTAGTAATCTACACGTAGTCATCCAGAATAAAGCGTGCCTATCTCTACTCTTCTATGCACCTTTGAGAAGTCACCGCGAGGAAACCGTCAGTATTGAAATCGAGATTCGAGCGACAAAGAAGGGTATATCTTCACGAGCGGAAGAGAACTAAAACTACAACAATGACCCAATCAAACAAAAGCCCACTACAGCCACCAACCAGTGCAACATACCCCTCACCTCGGGTGCATGCCTTGCCGCAGCACCGGTGAACTCCAGTGGAGCCGTCTGTTGTACGGGTGCGGCGCTGGCATTACTCGGCACTAAGAAGCCTGCCGCCATAGTAACTACCGGTGCCGGCGGTGGTAGGTTCTCTGTCGCGACTGCCGGTGCGGATGCGATCGGTGTTGTCGAAGCGACGGAGGACGAAACCGCGAGAGGCGTTTTGGATGCGCTCGACAAGGCTGAAGAGGCGGGGCTTGCTGAACTCGATATGTTGAAGGTGGGAATGAACGATGAAGATGGCAAAGAAGATGAAGTTTGCGTCGCGGATTCAACCGATGATTCCATCGACGAAGCGGGGACGACAGCCGAAGATCGGTTGGCTGTGCTCGAAGCCACAGATGTCGCGTTGCTCGTCAAAGCCTCTGATGTAAGAGCAGCAGAGCTCGCAGCCTCAGCAGCTGACGACGCGCTCGCGGAAGCAGTCACTGTGATTTCCGCGGTTACCTTAGAGGTAACATAAGCCGTACTTGTGACCTCCACTGTCGAAGTGCTCTCGGACGGGGTCGTAGCGTTGAGCGACGACGTTGCTGGCGGGGTGTATTCATACGCGGGGGCTGTTGTAGTAGCTGCCGACAAAGTTGTAGAGACAGCATAGCTGATCAGAGTCGAAGTTGAGTTCAGTAGAGAACTAGTACAAGGCGTAGAAACGACCTCGCTCGCCATTGTTGAAGTACTGTTCAACAGCGACGTCGCGTCTGCGGTGCTGCTTGCCAAGGTGGACGTAGTGTTCAGAGCAGCAGTCGTAGACACCATGCTGCTCATTACCGTTGAAGTGGTGTTCAAGAGCACAGTTGTAGACATGGTGCTACTCATCGGTGTCGAAGTAGCAATCGACTCTGTGGAGGACGGAACAACGTCGCTGGCGAATATGAAGGTGACGTTTGGCATCAAAGTGGGAGCCGCGGCCATCTCACTAGCAATACTCGCTGTAGTCTTCGCTGTAGTGTCTGCAATTGGCGTGCCAGATACCGTCGCGCTGAACAAGGATGTCATGTTGGCTTCTAGCTTTGGCGCCGCGGTCATGTTGGCTTCCAACTTCGGCGCCGTGGATGTAGCTTCAACCATCATCGGCGGAGGCGGAGGCACAATGACGCCTGTAACGTTGTCGAAAGCATTCTTAGGCGCTGCGCAGCCAGACAGCAGAGGAAAGACTGCTGTGAAAATATTCTCCTGGACACCAACTGCGTTGAAAGGTGGTGGAAGGATTGGTATCGAAACATCGAGAGCGATATCGATCGAGAGGGAAACGTTCGCTTCGACCAGAGCAAGAGGGCCCAGGCTGAGAAGTTCGGGGGGAAATTCTGTTGTCTGGTTGGCGAATGGCGCATTCGGTGCTGTGGCATTGCTGCTGTTGCTGACACCACAGTTTTCCGGGATGTTGCTCGACAGCTTCGCGTCCAGACGGGGTAAGTTCAAAGATGGGGTGACTTCAGCCTTCAGTTGATCCAGAAAGTCGAAACCAATCGGTATGGCTGGGACGAACGCGAGACCAAGCAAGATCTCTGCGTCAGTTATGTTGACGTTGACGGGCAGCGGAGTGAGACTCGTTTCCTGGAAGCCAGTAACGCGGCTGCTGGCAAGATCAGCAAGCTCCACTCGAATACTGGAACCATCAGGGACCTGAGAGCGTTAGTATCACCATAATACCCATGTGGGAAAACACATACCGTAAGCTGGAGTCCGTAGTTGACTTCAAGTGTACCACTGATGTTAAAGTCAAAGGCGAGCCTGGGCTCGAAGATAGCTCCAGCCTTCCCAATCCCCGGAATAGTAAAACCAGCAATAGGAAGTTGGAACAAAGCGACCTCGAATTTCCCAGAGCTGGGCGGTCTAGCGAACAAGTCCAGTGTTGCACCAACGCCAGTCGCCACAAGCTCTACAAAACCACCACTGATGACATGCGAGATTTCCTTGCCGTCGTCGCCGCCTTCAAAAATGTCCGGAATGAGGTCGATCTGGGAAAGATCGACGTTGAAGGCACCCTGTGAAAGGGCAATCTGCCCACTTGTTGCGCATCGCTTGCATCCAATCTCGATCGGCAACGGTACATCAGGTGCTCCAATAAGGCCAGCAATGCCCGATAGGAATGCTTCGACCGGAAAAGTGGTGTCAAGAAGCTCGGATGATAGGTCAAAGGAGACAGTGTTGACATCGTCGGGAGTGTCTGCCGGTATGTCGACCTTGTTCTGTCGCTTGTTTCGAATTCTCGCGAAGTCGGAATGGCGTCGGTAAATATGATCGTCTGTCGTGTGGCCGAACGATATGTCGACATGATCAAATGCTGCTCGCCATGTTGTCTTTGAGACGGACAGCTCAAGGGCTTCACCGTCCTCAGCGTACGACACGTCATTGACCCTGTGATCGTCAGATAAAATCACCGAAACGCCCGTGAGAAGCTCACCGATATACCGATCGCTCACCCTCATCATTACAGCCCTCGTGGGATGTGATGATCAAACCACCGTCCGCGTCATGACAGGCCGCTCGGGCGTCTCGTGCTGAAGAAGGATCTACAAAGTGTAGCTTCATGGTGTCATCCCCACATTGCACATCTTTGAGGTGATGTTCATGCTCTTCCAAGTTGAGTAGTGGTCTCTGCCCGCTGACTTTGACCTGCGAAGCAAATGTAGACTTGTCATTCCAGACGTTCTCATCTAGCGCATCGTCAGTAGTGGTACGTCTTCAATCTTGCTTCAACATACTGTCCACGTAGGCCAACTCAGACTCGAATCTCTTGGTGATCCTCACACCCCTCCGATACAAGTCTGTTCGTTTTGTAGCTGCTCGCAGCAGCCGATGCGTCTCAAGGTCACCACCCGAGATCGCAGCAACATCAGCGCTAAAGTATGCGATTAAGAGAACGGCAAATGCGCCGCGGAGGCTGGAGAAATGCATGTCGCGGTCGTATTAATCGAAAGAGATGAGTTGAAGAAACGTTCGTGCTCTTGTGAGGACCAAGCAGTGTACGAACGTCAACCCGATAATTAAAAGAATGTAAAGAAAACGAGCGAATGTAAAGAGCGTATACCTCACTTCGAAAAGTAATCTCGCCAGCGAGTGTAGACGACAAAGATATATAGAAAAGAGCCCACCCACGAAGAGAATCCACACACACCGAGAAGGAAACGGAAGATACCTACCCCTACGAAGATCGGACGAGAACCAAGCCTAATAGAAAGCCCGACTCATTGCGAACCCCAGCACAGCCAAGCCAACAGGCTGTGGAGATCATACACTGCACGGTACCTGCATTTTTGGCACTGCACAGGTTGTCTTTCGCAGCGAGGGCTGCACCACGCGTGGTAAGGCCCAAGATCCTCGGCCCGTGGTTCGCGTCGCATGTTCACGTGTGTGGTCTAGTTTATCGCGACCGTGGCGTGAATGGCATGCGCTACAGCTGTCATAGGCTCGGAAAGTAATAGGACAGCGGAGTAATGGTACGGGGGTGGGTTCTCAAACGGGGATTGTGTGAGAAAGGGTTCTGTTTGCCTCAGGTTCTTGTCCAAGCGGGTGGGGCGGCCTAGGGCTACTAGCGCAGCACTATTCTGCTTTTCATCTCTTGCTGCGACAACCCCTGAGGCTTTTCTATCGGTATCTTCAATTGCAGGACTTTCGGAACTTTCGGCAGGTAAAAAGGGCCTTTGGGGTATTGGTAAGGGCTTCAGAAAGGTGAAGTTATGCCGAGCGGTGCATTGGATGCTTTCAGACAAGTAAAGTGCATAGCACGAAGGAGCTCGTCGACGTGGAATTTGACTCTTCTTCATGAGTAGCGCACGATAAATCCACTGAAGGACGCAATTGATGTATACCATAAGCCCGAAAAAGCCCCAAAGGTGCTCAGGTGGTGGCGCAGGCTTTAGGCGGCAGCCTTGGCCTTTGCCGCATCTTGAGAACGCTGACATGTGTAGCACAGTCCACAATGCCCTCAATTGCCCTCTCGTGGTTGCGACTCGCCCCGCAGAATGCCGCCGTCGGGAGATCCGTATCTCGATGTACCGCTCAATCTGGGAAGGAAAACCATCAGGCTGGTGACGCTGGAGCCCGGCGACGCGTCAGAGTCCATCAGATGCAATCTGCAGAGCCACGCGCTGGATGACGAGTGTCCGGCATACGTCGCTCTTTCGTATGCATGGGGCGCCAAAGAGCGATATAACGATATTCAGATCAATGGCATGTCTTTCCCAGTCGGTCGCAATCTGTGGCACTTCCTCCACCAAATGCGTATGCAGCGTCAGGACGCCCTCTTCTGGATAGACGCCATCAGCATCGATCAAGCGAATGTACTCGAGCAAAACCACCAAGTGCAGATGATGAGAGAAATCTATACACAAGCTTGTTGTGTGTGGGTCTGGCTTGGCAAAGCAGATGATGCCACAATGAGCGATGTCGCGATGCAGTACTTGGACACGCGCGTTACTTTGAATGGCAAAGATGTCAATCCAAAGAAGATATGGAATGCACGCAAAGCAAAAGCTATATTGAGGCTGTGTGAAAAGGAGTACTGGAGAAGGATCTGGATCGTGCAGGAAGTCTTACTGGCGAAGGAAGTAAAGATTCTCTGTGGCGGCCGTTGCGTACAGTGGATCAAATTGCAGAAGCTCTTGGTCGACCTCCAGGCTATTTCGGATAGAGGGCGGTCTCTTCACGTCGTCGGCGTACCAGCCGTTCTTGATAGTCCAGCTGCAGTCATCATCAGGGCGAAAGCGCAATGGAATGGCGATCCCCAGCCACTTACACTATTGCTCGAGCAGTATCATAGACAACATTCGACTGATGTCAGAGATAAGGTGTACGCACTACATGGACTGGCAAGTGATAGTGGCGCCATATCCATTAACTATCGGATCGACCCGAAAGAACTCTTCGTGCAGATCGTCAAGCATGCATGCTCGTCGGTAGCACCCAAGATGGATATGAAGAGATTAAGGAAAAACCTACTCGACTTTGCGAAGCTGATGCGAGAATCACTCAGGGTCTTTTGCGATGAGGAAGAGCTGATTGAGCACATCTCAGTGACTCAGTGGAAAAGCAGTGAGGCGTGCGGGAAACACCTGAAGTACGACTGGGCCTCAGTACCTCCTACCCCGCAGACAAATCAGATGTCCGACGACATATCTCAATTGGTGGCCTCGCAAAGATCAAGCACTCAACATTTCACCTCTCACAATTCTGCGCAAGCTACAGGCAACAATTCCAGCGAGCCGTCTCGCGCAAGAGCGCGCGAATTAGTCAGAATACGCAGTAACGGACTTGCTTGTCAAAAGGAAGGCTGTGGCAGGACCTTGGTCGATGCGCGAGATCTCCGTCGTCATATGCGAATGCATGACGAACTTACTTGTCAAAAGGAAGGCTGTGATATGGTCTTGCTCGATGGGCAAGATCTCCTTCGTCATATGGAAATGCATGATGGCCAAATGCGTAAATGCGTCGTTGACGACTGTAGCGACCGCTTCGACCACGAGGACAAATTGCGGGATCATATCTGGCAGTTTCATCAAGACTGGCAGTCTCTTCAAGCCTTGCAACCTTATCCAGATGTATTGCAAATACTATCTTCTATCAGAGAAGATGTTTAACACTTAATATCGCGATAATCTGCGGGCACCCAAGCCATGGTATGAATACAGCCAATGACGCGTTGGGCGGTCATGTGCGCCTGTGTACTTGAAGCTCAGACCAGATGTTGACCTTGTATATACAGTTAAGAACATAGTTCTATACAAGAAGCTAATGATCTCTCCACAAAGAATGCAGCCCATATATCTCCTCCAACCCAACACCCCTCTCACGACGCAGCACCAATCCCCTCCCCCACCGGACAATTCGGCACATTCTCCTGCCAAGCAACCTTCGCATACGCCGGCAAATAGCTATTAGTCGTAAAGCTCTCATCAATATAATACTCCACCTGGCTGACCGAAAAGTCTCCACCAACATCAGGCTGGTTCAAAGCGTCGACGATGTAGCTAGCAATAAAGTCCAAGAACACCAGATCAACAGTCTTTGGCATCGATCCATCGAGCGGAAAGGAAGCATTCGCCTGGAGATCGTTGGGCTGGGAGAAGTTGGGAATGGCTGAGTGAACGGTGTCGTCGCCGTCGGTGCCGAAATCGTCTTTGGTCGTGTAGCCTGGGTTGGGGGCTGTGGATTGACGGCGGATGAGACGGCCGCCTTGCTTTGAGCGGCGGGTTACGCCTTCGTAGTGGTGGGTGAGTGGCGGGTCGAGGCAGGTATCTCTGTCTGCGAGGATGGGGCTGAAGCCGAAGTCGGAGGTCTCAAGGTCGCGCTTCTTCTTCTGGAAGGGACCGGCGTTTAGTATGCCGAGGACTTGGGACGCTTGCTCGTAGGGTACGTCGGGGATGAATTGGAAGGCGTCTTTGAAGGGAGAGACGATGAAGGAGTCGTCATAGGTGAAGGGACCTTTGGCGAGATCGAAGCGGACTGATCCGGTGTTGATGATGATGAGTCTGGGAGTGTCCTTGCGCGTCTCGTTTACGACGACGGTGGCCAACGCTGTTTGAAGGAGTCCGAAGATGTTGCCTTCAGCAAGGAATGGCTTGCAGTATTGGCAGTATGTTGCTGGGGCGCATCCATACAGATCGGTCAAGTTAAGCTTGGCTCGTTCCGACGTAATCTCATTAGTAACGCTGACACCGGCAGATGTGTCGAACGCGGTGTAGCGTTGACTTCCCTTGGCATGGTAGGCAAATGTGTTACGGTTCCAATCAAGATATCTTCGGGCGTAGCGGAGAGTGGAGTTGGAAGTAGACGTAGGCAGATGTGCACTAGCAGATGCAGTCCCAGTGCTTGCCGGTACCACCGCGCTGCGTATTGGATTTGGCACACCTTTGGGGTTGTGCTGCGCCTTGCAGGTCTTCGATTCGATGCCAGACATGGCGACCCAACCCAATGTCTCGCAGTAACGACCTAAGACCCTGTCAGCTAGTTGTTTCAAAGCACGTCCAAAGTACATACCAGACTCAATTCCTGTAGCTTTGTCGTCGTATACGGCAAAGTCTCGGATGTGGGTATGTCCGCCAAAAGCCTGTATAGGTACGTCTGGTTTCATGCTGCGGATGGCTTTGAAGACAGTACCCATTGTACTGCTAGAAACGCTGGTGCGCACCGGGTTGTGGCCGGTGATTACGAACAAATCGATTGGCTCGGTATAGTTGACAGCCTGTTGGAACCACGGCTGCTTCACCATGTCGGCTGCTTTGATGACCTTGGAAACGTTGCTGTTGCCGGTGAAGTCGAAGAGGACGCCAAAAGCCATGATGCGGAGCCCTGATTCTATCAGCATATTGTCAATTCCACGATTGATCGACTTACCCTGCTCTGTGGTGAAGTAGCGGTAACGAGACCCAATGTACTCAAACTGGCCAGTAGCGGGGTTCTTGATCTGCACATTGCTAGTGAGATACTTGTCGCCATAAACCTTGGAGAAGTTGTTGAATGTCTCATATGCGATTTCGGTAACATAGAGCTCATGGTTTCCAATGGTCAACAAATCGTAATCTAAGTTTTCGAAAATGGCGTTCGAGACGTTGCCGTTGGGAGTCGTCGCATCGCTGAGTCCTGCACCGTCGTGCAAGTCCTATCGCACGTCAGTCGAAGTGCTACTTCCTTCAACCACGTGCGCAGCCCTACTCGTCCCCAGGGCTTGATGGCAGACACTAACCCCTGTGTCTACCAGAAGCAGATCGACGCCTAGGTTCCGAGCCTTCTGCTTCATGTGCTTGGTGAAGCTGGCGTAATCACCCCAATCGGCCCCATAATTCTGTTCCTTGATGTGACCTTCCAGCCATCCATGGGTATCCGTGGTATGCAGGAAGTTGATCTGACCCCATTCCAGTGGCGCTTTCGGTGTTGTGGTCGCATTCTGCGCGTCCGGC